TTTTCAATGCTGTCAGCTAGCACCTTCTTTCTATGTTTAGATGAATGTTTACGAATTTGTGCCGTCGTCGAAAATGCTCGTAAAGAAGCTTTCGCTCAACGTTCCCGTACCGAAGACCTCGTACTCGATTGGACGTCTTACACCAGGCTCTGTCTACAACGTTACACTGCAGGTATCTCATTCACAAAGGTCCCTCCGAGATTTCCCCTTTTACATTCAATACCAAGTAATGGCGAGAACTAGTACGCCGTACTGTTCCGGCTCTAGTGAACAAACTCGAAATAGCGCATGTTCTTCTGCTCTATTTCTTAAAGTTGAGCGAGGATATAAAGTGTTCAGGCAGGCACGAACTACGGTTATGGCACGCTGGGATGGGCTGTGTTCTCCACGCTGAGCCAAGGCGAAGATGGCTTCGTCTTGAGGCAGCGAATGAAGACTCCAAACGCCCTCACATTGACATGGCCTGCGCAGTGGCTGCCTACTCCCACGTCCAGATATACGGTAAGTTACAGTGAAGCGATTGTGGAAGAAAATTGCATAACAGCAAATATAAGGGGAATAAGAAAAAGGAATGAGGTTGCCTTCGATGAATCCCTGAGGGAGGCGCCATGCATGAGTGTTCCCTTCAATATCGCAATAAAAAATGCCCGAATTTGGCTTGTTCCGTATTTTTCCCGCTACTGCACGTGTTCTAAGAATCCTTTTCGATAAGCTAGACAACAAGAAAGCTGCAGCATTAATTAGCTTGTCTCATTTTCAATATTATGTCCTTTTTATATTCGTGAAATGATTTGGAAGGGATACAGCTTTCTGACGGATTTCTTCACTGAAGATATCCACTCTAGATTCGAGCGAAAACTCTCCACTCACCGGACAAGACCGAAAAGGAGATCATGAACATGGGAGTGGGTGAAGTCGGCAAAACTCCAGAGTTCGTTCTTCGAAACCTTCACCCCGGATCGACTTATAACGTTTCTATCACCACAGCTGCAGAGGTGCGTTATTTTTCTTAATTCAGAGAGCATAATTCAGGGTTCCCTACAGACAGATTATGAATTTGGAGCGGACTGAGAACAATCCAAGAACAGCACAGGCATGCACTCCCGGTTCATACAACAGAACTTCAACCTTGCACGCAGAATTTTCTTGTTCACGTGCAATGACGCAGAAATCACTAGAACACCATGGGCATGGGTTTCTGGTAATTTCCGCTCGAGGACAAATCCCGCGAGTGCCACTGGTCGGTAGTGGAGTTCGATGGAAGTGCGGGTGGTCAGTGGTTTGATAAAGGTATAAAAAACGGGAAGAAGTGGAAAGCTAAAACCATGCCTTTGGCTGGACGAATGTTGCGGACCTGGCGATCCTTTTGGCTTGGCGACAGGGCCTGCTGAGTCGGTATTGTACCCCCCCCTCAGCGACTGTGCAGTGTGTGCAGGTATCTTCGGGATGTTGTGTGTTATGCAATTTTACCAAACCAATCGAATACAAGCACTATAACTGACGAAATTATCCTCAGTCAAGTAGTTAAAACTCTAAAGCACTTGCTACAATGACAGGCTAATGCCGTTTGACCAGCACTTCGCACCTGAGCTCTAATTTTAAATATAGTCGCCAAACTCCCGCTGAAAATATGTACACAAGGGTTATTTACCATCCTGATTACAATTATGACACTCATTCTTGGCGCTGGCGCCAAGGGATGACACTACGATTACCTCTTGGGCTCAGCCTTAGCGGAGCGCAGGTAATCGTAGTGTCATCCATTAGCGCCAGCGGCAAGAGTGAATGTCATATTCAGTGATCAGGATGTTAAACTACCCCTACATACAAGTTTTTAGCGGATTTGGTAACTTAGGCAATTTAAAAATGAGCTCGGTGCCGAAGTTGCTGGAGTCCAAACGGCATTAGCCAAATGAGGTCGTCTCCAAACAAAACACACATAACCAGACATTGGCAGCGCTGCGGCCGTCGCGTATTGGGATTGGAGGGCAGGTGTCCGGCCCGTTGCACCCATAGATTAGTAGCGAGTTCGCGACGTGTGGGGGGGAGGTGGGGCATCTCTGCAGCTTTTGCTACTTCCATAACGTGTGAGCCTTTGCTAGACAGCTCTTCTCAGAGTTGAGAGAAACTTCGACTAGACATACAGAAAAAAGATATACATGGCGTCGAGAAGTAATATGCTTTTTTCTCTATAATGAGCACAAAATCTCTGCTGTAGCTCAGCCATGTTCAAAATTCGCGCCGTTCGCGGATTTCTCTTAGGAAGTAAGCTTAAAGCTGGCAAGCAGTGAGGATGCTCCCCATAGAAAGCCACATTTCCAGTCTAGACCAGCTTTAAGTTTCCCGTTCTTCCTTCTCCTCATGTAGTAGATAGGAACCGCAGCAGAGACGCCGATCTGTGCGTTCATGGAATGCGCCATGTACTCGACTTCCTTTCCGACGCAGCTCCATTTGGCAGTGAAGCTAGTGACTTCTGCGAATACGATCCTTCTCTGGGGGAAGCCAAATGCGATAGCCCGTCGCCGATTCCCCGGCGAGTGCTTGACTCTGGTGTGGAGCATCAGAGAATCAGGTACGCGCACACTCAGGTGCTGCGATTTCATTCGACGTGTTGATGTCATCAAACGTTCTTGATAATAGATACCTGGTCCTTCCTTCGATGGAACAGCGTTAATGTTCTCTGAGTTCAATCTAAACTGTTTCCTTACCGTGTTTGTCTCTATTCACAATTAGGTGGGTTCCTAGATGATGGTTACTTTCCATATTTAGGCAACCAAACCACGAATGAAGAAGTGGGATGACGCCAGTCTCTACAAAACTGCATGGAGTGTCTTCTCAACATTACCACAGGGTGAATACATCGTCAGCGAACCACGAATCGTTGTTGAAACCGACACAGCTGCCTCAATCGTCTTCCAGCCACTTAAGCACCTTGGCAATGTTCAATACCAGGTATCAAAGAAAGTTGATCTATAATTGAAAAGATTCACTTGGTTACTAGGGAAATAACACCCTCTCAGAAGAGTGAGTGTCCGAAGTATTGCTCTAAAAGATTTCGTGAAATTCAATTACGACGTGAGGGTGCGTATAGACTTCGCAACGTTGTTCGTCGAACGATGCCAGGTAGAACTTGAACAGGCGCACCTTACGCTCACCGGGTGAGAGCGTTACGGTGAGCGCAATCGCTCGGTGAGCTCACCGTAACCCTCGTGAGATGCTGGATCGAGTCCCGCCTGGGCGTAAGGCTCTTGCAGATAACTAGTCCAGCTGATTTGATGGACGGATATGATGTCACTCCCGACAACTGGTTTGTAATGAGCTGAGCTACAATTCCAGACGGCCTGATATTCTTTCCATTTTCCGAATTTGTGTGTTGGTCTGTCTTATATAGCATGTATATAGTACGTCGCTTTCGCTGCAGGAGCTGGGGCGTGTTCGGAGGGTGAGTGTGAAGCCGCCAGCACGTTCTCCACCAGTGGTTAAAGTGGGCAGCCGACACCAATTAGTGAAAAGGGGGCTACGGCGAAAATTTCAGCCGCCCCCGCGCGCCATCGCCTGCAGCAAAAACTAAAGAAAAAGATAAGAGAGATAACCAAGTAAAATAATTTGAAGAAATTTCGGCCACTACACATAAGTCGGTCGGCTGCACTCGAGCTTTTTTTCGTAGCCAAGTTTGTTTCTCGAAAGGTCCCTACACAGTGCTGGTTGAATATTCATTCCTTTTACAACTGAACGCGAAAAGATCCCGAGGTAAGAATGTAATCACCCCACCGTTCAGATCCGATACACGCCCATCGAGGGTCCAGCGATAGAGACGAAAGAGTACGATGAGGAGAGCCTGATGTGAGTCGTTATTCATTTTCTGGTGATTGTCGCGATTCTAATTCATTCGGACTAGGGAACTGGTGGTCACTCATCAAAAGTAATTAGTCCAGACGACGTGCGCCCTTTGTGAGCTCATTGCCTTGCACTTCGAGAGAAAATCAGTTGCGCTCAGGTCCTCTCCATAAGAACTTTTT